AGCAGGGGGTTGGGGGTGCCGATGAAGAGGTAGTGCCGCAGCTGCATCACCGACAGCCACATGAGGTGCCAGAAGAAGAGCTTGGAGAAGACGCAGGCCCGGAAAGACTTGGCAGGTTGCTGCTCCCCGTGGCCCGGCCCGGCCCCCGACTCTCCTGGGCATGGGCACAGCACATGTCAGTTTTAGCCTCAGGCTGGAGGGGAGGGGAATCCCGCACCCCAAGGGGGTGGAGTTTCAGAGTGTGGGGGGGCCATGCCAGGGGATGCAAAGGGATGAGGGCGTGACGGGGGGCAAGTCGCCCAAGGCTGTAAAATCTGGAACGAGGAGGGAGCAGGGAGCAGCCCCCGGGCCCGCTGGCCCAGGCCAGCCCGGAGCAGCTCCCAGCCCCCCCCCCCCCAGCCAGCCAGGGGTAGCAGCTAAGATACGGTCCACCCCAGAGAGAGTCCAGGACGGCACTTGCGCCGGAGCCTGGGCTGTGTCTCTGCTGCTGGGGCCCAGGCCTGCGGCATGGAGGGAGGTGACTCTGTGCCACCCTGGCACCTCCGGGGGACAGTCTGCGGGGAGCACGAGCACAGGGCTGAGGCAGAGGCAGAGCCAGGATGGCTGGAAGCTGGAGTCTCTGCTCACCTGGTCCAAGTGGGCCCCTGCTGTACCGTTCTGTTCTCCCCAGCGCTGAGCCCTGGCGCTTTCATAGCGCTGGCTGGGAACGGCAAAGGTCCCTTTGGGGGTCCACGGCTCTCCCTCACGCCCAGCTCAGGCAGACCCGCTCCAGGGAGCGTGTGGCGTGAAGCCCAGGGGCTGGGGCTCTGAGGTTGGGTCCCCGAAGGTGGTGGAGCCAAGCAACTTTTCACAGAGACAGCACGAGAGTCTCACCAGGGATGGAGGGGGTCTGGCACCCTGAAGGGGCCCTCTAGAGTCTGTCCCACAGTTCGTGCACTGTGGATGTGTCACAGGGCAATCTGGGGGGCTCCCTGGGGGCGTGGGGAGCAGTGGAAGTGGAGGGAGATCTGGGGGTGCTCCCTAAGATCCAGGTGGAAGAGTAAAGGGGCTGACTGGGGGGGCAGGAGGGAGAGGAGGAATGGGGGGGGGCATTGATTCAGCCCTACCATTGCCCTTGAGGGCTTTTCTGGCATCAGCATCTCCCGGGCCTGGCTCCACACGTGGGTTGCTTGGTTCTGCTCCTCATGGAGGTGGGAGGAGCAGCCCTGCCTCTCACACCTCAGCCTGTGCACAGCAGCCCGGTCACTGCCTGCCCTGGGCCCGGCACGGCCACAGCCAGCAGCCCCCCAGCCCCACCACAGGGAGCAGCGACCCTCACGCGAGGGCCAGGGCCCCCTGCAGCGCAGGAGCAGCCCCAAGGAAGGAGGGCCCGGAGACTGGGGCAGAATCAGTGCCAAGGGGCTGATCCCCATCCACCCAGCAGCCTGTTCCCCTGTAGCCGTGGGGTTATGAGACAGACTGTGATGGAGGCATCCGTGGCAAGCAAACGGGGGTGGGGGTTAAATGGGAGGGAGAGGCTCACAAGAGGTAAGGGGGGGATGAACCTGTAGGAGGCAGAGGGGCCTAAGGAAGACAAACAGGGGGGTGGAAGAGCCCATGGGGAGGCAAATGAAGCTGGAGGAGCCATGGGGGGAAGAGAGGCCAATGGGAGGTAGGTGGGGAGTAGAAGGCCCCAAGAGGGGCAGGGGGTCCAGGGGAGGTCAACATAGGATGAAGAAGGATCTGAGGGGCCGGGGGGATGAACCTGTAGGAGGCAGAGGGGCCTAAGGAAGACAAACAGGGGGGTGGAAGAGCCCATGGGGAGGCAAATGAAGCTGGAGGAGCCATGGGGGGAAGAGAGGCCAATGGGAGGTAGGTGGGGAGTAGAAGGCCCCAAGAGGGGCAGGGGGTCCAGGGGAGGTCAACATAGGATGAAGAAGGATCTGAGGGGCCCACAAGAGGCAGATGGGGGGGTGGAAAGGTTCATGGGGGCAGAGGGACCCACAAGAGGCAGGCG